TATATTTGTCCCAAGAAAAGAGCATTTTGTCCCAGGATCCTGCAGAACAAGACCACTGCCCCACTTCAAGTCCCATCAAAGTATGTGGGATAAAATGTGCTATTATTTTTTCCCAAGACATTATGGGATACATCTGTAAGGTTATTATGAGTCATTCCTTAAAGAGGCTGGCCAGGATGCGTGCTCTTGGCAGCCACCTATCAGCAGAGGAGCTTCAGTGCTACTTGGAATGGCTACTTGTGTAAATGACTGCCATTTCTGTTTTGATATGGGATAAAACCCAGGACAATCAGGCCTACCTCAAATGCAATGTCTAATTACAGCCAAGATGATTAAGTACCAGAAAAGATTACCTAGAGAGGTCGTGGAATCTGTCATTGGAAACTTTTAAAAGTCATAGAGAAGCATTTGTCCAGTATGGTTTAGAGGGGGTTGATACTTCCTTGAGCAGGTGATTGAACAGATTATCTCCTGAGGACTCTGCCAACTCTATTTGCTCAGCTGGAGATCTAGTTTCTCTGACTGATTATGGTTTGGTGTTTTAGCTCCTTCCCTGATGAAGTCTGCAGGACCTCCAATCATCCAATCTCTTATGGCCAACCAAGGATAAAGATTTTTTTTTCAATTCCAACAGTTACTGTTTCGTAGAAAGGGTAGTTACAGCAGACAACTGTTTAAAGTGGCCACCTTCCCAAATTCTTAAAAAATCTCAAGTTCACTATCATTATTTTAATGGTGGAGCTTCCATTTGTTTGTCGAGGTTGTCCTTGAATTGCATTTGTGTAATTTCTGATGAAAGTAGAAACAAAAAATAGGTGTACAGATTTTTTTTCTTGGCTGCTCCAGCTGTTCTCCTCTGTTACCCTGAATTTGATGATTTTTACTCGTTTGGAGGATACTGTTGTTCCAATGGGTAGGGAACCTGGGGAGCAGGAATTCAGATTCCCTTATTTTCTATTCCTGACTGCCACTGATTTTCTCTAGGTAATTGGGTGAGATAATGATTTGAGCTAGCCTCAATTTCCCAATCCATAAAATGGATATAAAAAGGCTTATACATCTTTGGAAAGTGCTTTGAAGTCTTAAGAGTGAAAAAGCATAAGAGTTTTAGATAGAGGTAATATTTTATGAGAACACTTACTCTGTGCCAGGTCACAGACTAATACCTTTTTACATGTCTAATTTTTTTTGTCTTGCATGTGTCAATTTACTCATCTCTCTCGGGAATTATTAGGAAGCTCAAAGACAGAAGCTTTAGTTTAGAAAGGAGAGCTAACTGTTTTTCATTTCTGGATGTCTTGGACTGATGTCTCTAGGAAAAGGAGACTATATTAGCACAGAGTTGGTAAAAGGTGGTGGAGTCTAACAATCTCTGATATGACTGACTAAGGTGCATCTGAAAGAAATAAGCACTACTGTGTGGGGAAAAAAGGAAAAGTTGCATAGGAGAATTACTGACTACTGACTATCTTTCTTGGTGAATAGTTTTATGAAAGTAAAAAGGTAAAGAGCTAAGGGTACAGGAGCAAAAGATATTTCCTTAAACAATTCTTCTAAAGAAATAAAGTTGAAATGGAATAATATTTTAGGACTATCCTATATGCATAGTCTCTCATTCATTATTTTATGGGAATGCTCGCTTGTAAAAATCTGTACGATTTTTTTTTTTTAGTTTGTTATTGGTATTCATTTCTCTCTTTGGGAACAAAAGAATAAGTATACATTTAATATTAATCAGATAAAGCTGATGATTTTTTTGTCCTTCAAATGTTGTTTGTTCATTTTTTTCCCACAGATCCCTCTATATCACTAGTATTAAGTCCAAATATAGTCCAAATATATTTCTGTTTGTATGCAGTAAGTCTATTGTTCAGATTGAATGGTACCTACAAATATTGTTCTTTTCTTCTTTTTGAGATAGCATGTTCTGGGATTTTTGGGGGTGGGGGGCTAGGGAGGTAAATTAGTCATCCTCCCCTGACTAATTGTTTAGGCTTGGACAGTCACTTAATCTCTCTTCTTTGTTGGATTCCTCCAGCTACAAAATAGGAAGAAGGCAACTTAGTTACTGAGTGACTGCTCGTAATTCATTGATTGAAGTTATTTCCACATTTTGATGCCATAAAAGATTCACACAGTAAATGTTAACTTTTTCAGTGGCAGATCTCAGCTCCTAAATTAAATCTGTTGTGTTCCATAAAATTGATATTTCTGCTGCATTGTGCCTCAGTTCCTTACTTGGTAAAACACTAATAGGTGCAGCACTGAAAAACAGGTAATGACACATCCCACTGGGTGCTCATACAGATGCGTGGTATTCTCTTGCCATTGGTGCTAGCTACCAGGGCTGCAAGCTCCTCTTTAAGAATCAGAACTGTTGCATTTAAAAAACAATAGTTTTTCGTGGGCCCAGAGCATGCAAACCTTTACTTATTTCTGACAGCGGGGCTGGCTACTGTGAGTAGCCCTGTTAATGTGACTCTTCATTGGGCTCACTATCACACCTGATAGTGTTTGTAGAATTAGATTAGTCACCATGAAATTCTTACACCCCCAGCTTGTCTCCTGCCTGACAGAATTGCAACAAAATGTTTTTTTTTAAATTTTGAATTCAGCTAAGAGTGCAATTTAGCTCTTCCTAAACAAGATTTTGTCTGACTGTATTAATGTAAAATGAAAACCACTGCTAGAACAGGGACCTCTACTTCCCTCTCCTAGGTAAGTGCCCTAATCAGTGGGTTTACAGTTACACTCCTTTCTGTTCCCTCTCTCTGAACCATTGAATCTTTCATTCC